CATGTGGTCTCCTCAGGACCTCCTGAACCTCCATCATGTGGTCTCCTCAGGACCTCCTGAACCTCCATCATGTGGCTCCAGCTTACCTTGTTTTTGCTGCTCATCCAGTTGTGTCTGAGGGAACTCCACGTCGAAGGTGATGATGAGAGATCCTCGGATGTTGATGTTGTCAAAGTTGGGCAGACCTTCTCCTTTCTTCCACATTCGAGCTCCGGGCTTCGTGATCTTGTCCCTCACTATATGGACCTGAGACGAGAAGACAGACGGTCTCAAACATCTGCCCTGAGCGTTTGTGTTCGACCTGAAAGGTCTCCACACCTCTGGACAAACAAGTTGTTGTGTAAACAAACAAACAAACAGCGTCATGTTCCCTCCTCTGGTCTGACGTTGATCCAGTTTTAATCAACTGGAATTTAAATCACTTTCAATTAAAGCTTTTATTTTGTTAAGATTTATAAATCCTTCTCTTCCTGCAACTCGTTCCAGTTTTTGCTCCTTTTAAACGTTCGGCTCGTTCAGGACGTTCCTGCTGGGACGTCTGGCGTTTGTGCAACTTTTACTTTTCTAAACATTCAGCTTTGTCGGCCATGTTGGTCTCATTGAACCCTTCAGCTGTTTTACTGCTCACTTCGGCTTCTTCCCGTTAAACACTTTGTTTCAGCTACTTTGTAACTAATTTAGTGTCAAAAGACTAAACTGCTCTAAAGTGCTCATTCTAGCGATCTTCTGCTGGTTTCAGACGAGGTGCTGGTGCAGGTCTGCAGAGCCACTGGAGGACACGTGTTGGCCGGTGTCACCGAGCTCGCTCCGATCTAAAGCTCTGTGGACGGACGGCGAACCTTGTGACCGTCCAGATGGACGACGTCCATCTCGAAGCCGACCAGCGCCTCCACCAGGGAGATGGTGACGTTGGTGTACAGGTCGTCTCCTCTGCGTTCGAACACGGGATGTCTGAAGGACAGAAAGAGCAGCACGTGAGCCGACGGCAGGATCGTGCAGCCTCGGGATCAGCAGACAAGAAAGAACGTCTTACTTTAGCACCTTGATGCGGAACCGCAGGTCTCCAGGTTCTCCGTCGATGTGAGGCTCACCTGAGAACGAAGGTAAACCGTGAGCAGCAGGTGGAAACGGCTCGTGTCCACATTAGCTTCAGTAAGGACTACCTTCTCCAATGAAGGGGTACTCCATCTCATCCCTCACTCCCTGTTCAATCTCCACCTCCAAGGTTCTCTCCTCGTTCACCAACCTGAGGTTAGAAGGTCACGCTTTAGAGACCTGAGCCAACGAGCCTGGACCGGCTCTTCACAGCCCGCTTCTGATCCGGTCTACCACAAGCGTGTGTGGAGGCCGGCGGGGCGAGGGACTCACTTCACGTTGGGACACTCGTCGCACACGGTCTCCTGGGTCATCTGGAAGCGGCCCGGTCCGAGCTGCGTGGTCTTCATCTCCTGCCTGCAGTTACACTTCCTCTTCCCAGGAGCTTCTTTGGCCACGGGCTTGTTGCGCACGACCTGCGGGACGGCAGAGCGTCGTTCAGTGACGTAAACATGTTGCTGCAGCAACAACAGCCTCACTCGGAGTTAAAACACAACAAGCCCCGCCCACCACCACCACCACCACTGTGGGGTCAGAAGAGTGAATGTTCTGGACTGGAACTGAACAGAGTATGAAAGTAAATGTTTGTGAAAGGCATTAAAGTGGGAGGAGTTAAACTGGAGAAGGTGGTTTTCTTTGAGGGTGGAGGCGGAGCAGAGGGAGGAGTTTAACTGACGTGTTTGCATCTACATGAAAGACTTTTGTTGGTTTTCCTTTTGTGTTTTGGGTGGCACAGTGGCTCAGTTAGTAGAGCTGCTGACTCTCAGCGAGAAGGTTGCCGGTTCAAATCCCAGCCCAGGGACCTTTCTGGGTGGAGTTTGCATGTTCTCTCCGTGCTGTGAGAGTTTCCTCCCACAGACCAAAAACATGCATGTTAGGCTGATTGGTGACTCTGAATCATCTCTCGGTGAGAGAGAGAGACAATGATTGTCTCTTTTGTCTCCGTGTCCCTGTGATGGACTGAGACCTGTCCAGGTGTCCCCCACCTCTTGCAGTGATGGCTGGATATGGACACCAGTGACCCGAAAACAAAGAAGTGGGTAAAGAGGATGGATGGATGTATGAATGATGGATGAATGGTTGATGGATGGATGAATGAATGGATGAATGATGGATAACTGATGGATGGATGGATGGATGAATGGATGGACGGATGAATGATGGACGGATGAATGATGGACGGATGATGGATGAATGATGAATGTATGAATGATGGACGGATGATGGATGAATGATGAATGTATGAATGATGGACGGATGAATGATGGATGAATGATGGACGAATGATGGATGAATGATGGACGGATGATGGATGAATGAATGAATGATGGACGGATGATGGATGAATGATGAATGTATGAATGATGGACGGATGAATGATGGATGAATGATGGATGAATGAATGATAGATGATGGATGAATGAAAGATGGATGGATGAATGATAGATGATGGATGAATGATGGATGAAAGATGGATGGATGAATGATAGATGATGGATGAATGATGGATGAAAGATGGATGGATGAATGAATGATGGATGAATGACGGATGAATGATAGATGAATGATAGATGAATGAATGATGGATGAAAGATGGATGGATGAATGACGGATGAATGATGAAAGATGGATGGATGAATGACGGATGAATGATAGATGAATGATGGATGGATGAAAGATGGATGGATGAATGATGGACGCCTACATTCATGTGTTCAGTCTACTCTGTAAATCTTAAGGTTCGGGGCCTCGGCCCCCACACATTAATTTCCGGCCCCTCAATCGTTTAAAGAAACTTTTCAGCAAAATAAAAACTACAAAGTGTTTACGTTTCCTCAAATGATCTGTTCACAGGCGGCCATCTTGGATTTTGACCTGGCAACCCAGTTTTGGATCATGACCTTTGGAACTGCTAGACGTAGCTGTACACCAACATGGACGCCGACACGTCGCTGAATTTTTAAATCCTTGTGCTCAGAAGATGGAGGAGGTGTTTCAAAGTCCCCCCGGCTCATAAGAACCCAAAAGAACCGGTTGTCACGGTCCAAGAACAGTTTCCACACCTCCACAAAGTTCCCAGAGTAAACCTCCTCCAGCGTGACCTCCAGGTCCAGGATGATGTCATTTCCTCTGGGGATGTTCCGGTCCTGCTGCTGCCGGTTGCCTCCGAACATGAAGCCGAAGTCACCGAAGAAGCTTCAGAGAGGACAAACACAAAGAAGGACCGACGTCAGATCTGTTCTCAGCCAGTGAGACAACCGATGAGGAAAAACAAAACTGGATCTGCTGCTCTTAAATTCTCAACAGCTGCTTCACTCAGAGCCGCGAGGCCTGCGGCCATCTTTACACCACTAGAGGGCGCTGTGGTCATGTGACCCGTGGTTCACTGCAGAGGCAAGAAACAGTCAAACATCTGCACTGAGGGGTTTTGAGTAAACAGCTCTGAGGAAGGGCTGTCTGTCAACAACAACACTATATTATTAGGTGTTATATAAGCATGTAAAAACACCAGGAAGGTGTTTGAGCTACAGATGTAGCAGCAGAGGAGAAAAGAGAGTGGTCAGATTTGATCTTGACCTCAGTGTTGACGGAGCAGACCTGAAGCTGATAACGGAGCCGTTATAAAACTGATGTACCGGTTGTTAAATACTGAACTGGCTCGACGTTCGTAGCCTCTGAGGCAGATATTGTGTCTGTACCTCCTGAATCACGCTACAGTTTAGTTCAAATTATTCAACAGTCCAAGCTGCTGGTAACAATTCATCATCTGCTCTGTGCATGAATTCTGAAAATGTTCTGTTTAACCTGCGGGATCGATTAGACACTGATCACTGATCAGTTAGCTGCAGCTAGCAGAGTCTACATTTAAACAATTTACACGTTAAAGTTGGTTTTAAATTCATCAACGAGTTGAAGTGATAATTATTGAAGCAGCTAAAAATTCTTTAAGTCGTTACTTATTGACAGACTTCATGTCGTGTTTAGATCCTCAGTTATATTTTCCTTCCGTAACGTCCAGCTGTTTACATGATAGTTGTATAAATTAACATTAATTATGAATTATACGAGGTTATTGTAAACAGTAATAATTTGTTACACAGATCATGTTGGGCTTGATGCTCAACACTTGTTTTATCTGCTGGGAGCAGTTGCTTGTTCTGGACGCCATCTTGGCTTCTCTATGATGTCACAGATGGAAACAATGGGCGGGGCCTCTGGTGGTTGGTAGAACTCGATGGTTGTGGCAGATCTCTCCACCTGCGAGCTCTGATGTTCATCAACATGGAGTGAACATGTGTGGACAGTGCAGCTTACTTGGGTCTGGAGTCATGGCAGGACAGAACCTCTGAACAGAAGCCATATGAACATTCACAATCAGCTATAGGAACCCCGGGACACATTTGTGCATGAAGCCCTCAGGCGATGAAGCTGTGACGACTTGGACCGGCTGAAACTGAACTGTGTTGTGTGTGGACTGAAGAGGTAAAAGGGACTAACCTGGAGAAGATGTCGTTGTGCGAGCTGTGGTGACCTTCTTTCAGTCCATCTTCTCCGTACGCGTCGTACTGTTTCCTCTTCTCCTCGTCTGAGAGGACCTGCAGACAAAACGACGTGTCAGCCAACAACCACCGTCTGCGCTCCGTTTGCCGTCTCACAATCATCTCCAACAGTAACGATGCTGCCACAACGGTCAGTTTTCTGCATGTTGAGCAGCCCTGTGTGGCGGCCATCTTGACTGTGGTTCAGAAGTTCATCATTTGTAGAAGACAACCTGATGATGACCTCCTGAAAGTTTCACTGAGGCGCTTCATGACATATTGTGAATAACAACAATTATGTTGCTGGAGCACAACTCCCTGCAGGGAACTCCCTGAAAGTAATATTCCTGTTTTCAGCATGGCCAGGTACAACAGGTAAGATGATACAAGTGGGCGGAGCCTGAAGAGGTGGCCATTATTCTAAGACCTTAGAACGCTGCCGCAGGCTTGAATAGTTCAACCTAATGTAGGTTGAGATGACTTTTGGTTGACATAAGAGTTTCATTGTTTCCTAACATATTTATTTAATAATACTGTAGTTATGAAAAAAGTAAATATATAAATTATCTATCTATCTATCTATCTACCTCTATCCATCTATCCTGAATTCCTTCAAATCTCCTTCAGCTATTCAACTCTGTTTTTTGTTGCTACTATTTTTAGCCACTATTCGTCTACGTTTAGCTTTTAGTTACCCTTTAGCTTCTTTTGGCTTCCATTCTAGTATTTTTAGCTTTTATCTGTAGCTTTAAAAATTATCTTTAACATCAGTTTTGCTACTTTTCCAACAGTTTAATTAGTATTTCTTCATCTGCAATGATTAGCATCTGTTTTGCTCATTTTAGCTACCGTTTCAGGCCTTTAAGCTACTCTTCTCCAGCTTTGAGGTGGCACACTCCATGCTTTTAGCTTGAGTTTCGTTACTTTCAGCTCACATTCCACTATTTTTAATATGTTCCGCTAGGTTTAGCTAATGTTCCGCTAAGTTTAGCTAATGTTCCGCTAGGTTTAGCTAATGTTCGGCTGCTTTTAGCCCCACTACATTTAGTGTGCATTCTCCTGCTATTAGTTTGTGCACTTTCCTACTTTTAGCCGCCATGCTCCATGTTTTTAGCTCGCCTTTTGCTACTCTCAGCTTGCGTTTCCCTACTTTCAGTTCACGTTCCATTACTTTTTCATTCAACCTTTATTTATTTGTCCCATTGTGAGACTTTGTGTGTTCCACTACGTTTAGCTAAAGTTCAGCTGCTTTTAGCTCCACACTTGTTCTCTTGATGTTTGTTTATTTTCCTACTTTTAGCCACCATGCTCCATGTTTTTAGCTCACATTTTTCTACTTTTGGTGTGTTCCTCTATATTTACTGGTAGCTAATGTTCAGCTGCTTTTATCCAGCATTCTCCTGCTTTTAGCTCTCATTCTCTTACATTTAGCTGGCACTCTCCATGATTTTAGCTCACGTTTTGAAAGTTTCGGCTTATATTCCACTACTTTTAGCTTGTGTGCTCCACTAGGTTTAGCTCACATTCTACTGCTTTTAGCTTGTGTGCTGTCTATTTCAACCTGTGTTCGACTCATTTAAGCCTCTGCTCTACATTTTTTTAACATCCAGAGGACCTGACTTATCTTTTTATTCTACCTGGATTACTGAGCATGCATCAGGAAACCTCTGATCTGCTCGTTTTAACCTTAACTCAATCTCAGCTTCTTCACCAAAATTTACTCTGTTTTGACGGTCCTTTTGGTTGTCATTTTATTTTAATTTGTAAAAACAATAAATATAAAAATGTGTATGCCTCTTTTATACTTGTCCATTGTTGTCGTCACTTTTTGTTAAAATCAGGTCTCTCTTGTAAACGAGTCCCCGGGGCTCAATGGGATTAACCTGTATGTTTTTCATTCAACCTTTATTTAGACAGGCAAATCCCATTGAGCCTCGAGGACTCATTTACAAGAGACCTGATTAAATAAAGTTTGAATGAATAGTCATTCAGAGCTGAGCATCCACGCTGCATTTTCACAGAAAATGTGATTTCTCTCCTTAATGGTAATTTATCACTCTACTCATAAACCTGAAGCAAAGTGTCTCTAGATAATGGCAAATAAAAAAAACTGACTCTGACTAACTTGTTTAGGAATGCTAAAGAAAGAGAAATCTAATCAAAGCCTCAAACGTTGAAGTAAAAGTTTATATTTGAGAAAAAAGAAAAACACCTGTAACTCTCATCAGAATCCACTCCCACTCATCCACGTCTGCCTTTTATAAAGCGGCTGAGTTTCAGCCAATCAGAAGCAGCCACACAGTTCAGTCGACCAATCACAGAGCTCGAAGCGTTTCCCAGTCCAGTCGACCAATCACAGAGCTCGAAGCGTTTCCAACAACAACCAAGCAGCAAGTGCGCACGACTTTTACGAAGAAGCGTGTGCCACTTCCTCACAAAAACTGAGTTTTACACAAAACGCCTGCAATTTAAGAAACAAAATAAGTCGCGCTCGGTGGCAAAACAAGCTAGCTGTGACTCAACATACAACTACAGCGTCGGACCCACCTCATAAGCTGCTCCCAGATCCGCGAACTTGTCTTGAGCGTTCGGGTCGTCCGGGTTCCTGTCAGGATGGAGCTGCAGAGCCAGCTTTCTGTAAGCTTTCTTGATGTCCCGTATGGACGCCGACTTGCTCACCCCCAGAATCTTGTAAAAGTCTCGTCTGCAGAGACAAGAGAGAACAAAGAACCACAGAGGAGTTAGAAACGACTGCTCAGCCCGTACCGGGCTTTGACGAACGTTAGCTCAGAGCTAACCATGCTAACTAGCTGTTAGCCGAACCGTAAGACGACAACACTGGAGTTGGACATGAAGACTAAACGCTTTGCTAGAAAACAAGCCTCGGCGGGTCAGCCGGGGGCGTCAGCCCGCTCCAAAGGCGAGCAGAGCGGTTAGACCAATCACAGCGGAACATGTGTACCGCCCGGCTGCCCACCGTCACCGTGCTCCCCCGCTCCGTGAGCCACTTACCCGGCGAGCACCGCGGTGGTGACATACAGAAGCAGGCAGCACACGTTACACAGGTTCATCCCCGTTTTAGCCATAGATCCGCGGGTTTTGACAAAGAGCCGATTATAGGAACACCAGCCGGCTTTTTAACGAGACAAACGGCCGCTGCCAGTCTCCGGCTTCTTCCTGCTGTCACAAATAGAGCCCGCCCACCGCGGGTCTCCGGCAGAAGCTCCGCCCAGCGTTAAAGGCGCCCCGCTCGTCTTTAACAGCCACACCGCACCTGTTTGTTTGTTTTTTTTAAATATAAACTCTAGACTTAATATGTAAATAAAGCTGCAGTAATGAGTGCAAAGTTTTAAAAGTGAGCAAAGAAGGCGCGCAGGCGCTAGTGTTGCTTTGAGACTCCGCACCGTTTCTAGACCGGCTGACAAAGCGACTACCCGCGTGGGCGGAGTTTGAACTCCATTTTAACGGCTAAAATCCAGCGGGCGAAGTCACATGACTAAGACGTTGTCGGCTATTAATGACATAATATACTTAAATCGCACTGACTGATTTAGGGTGACACACCAAATCTCCATTACCACTCGTAATCGTTTCTACCCGGATCATAGTTCGGCGGACAAAAAAGGACTGCGCCTACAGTCGGCGCTGCCCGCAGTGGATGTCGGGAAAGGAGAACGGCAGAATAGGAAGCGCTCCACTCCGATATGTATCTCTGACTGACCACAGTCTGCCCTCGATATGTCCGCGCGTCCTCCACCGGCGCCGTGACCCAGAGCCGGCTCGGTTCGGTACCGTTTCCTGCAGGAGGGCAGCTCCTGGCGGCTCGGACGCCGCCTGCTAACCGGCTGTAGCTAAGGTAACTTTAGGCTAACTTGTGTGCAGAAAAGTTCTCTGCGGATGGGAGACACTTGTTCTGCGAACTGATTCAAAGTTTCAGCTGTAATGACGTCATGTAGCGTCGGAAACAAACTAAATCATTATGCGTTATAGTGAAATTAAACAAAACCCGTCGTAAATAAACGGTTAGAGCAGAGTGGTGTCTGCCAACTTTCTATGAAGGTAAAAATGTTGAAAGTATGCACTTGTTTTTAATTTTTTTAAAGCTTTGCTGATCGTAAATGCAATATGCTAAGAGTTAAAAGCTCCTAAATGATAGTTTATTTGTGTAAGCTTTTATTTACATTTGAAGTACAAAAAATAACTTGTAGATTACATCTTGCACCTGCCACCAGGTGTGTTCAGCTCTTCCTGTGTGAAGATCCGAACGTTTCAACAAGAGGACCTGACTTAACCTTGTTGGATTTTTCTACCTGGACCACTGAGCATCAGGACTTCTTCCTGTGTGACTTTGGCAACACATTTTGAGAGCGATGGGCGGGGCCAGTGACGATATCAGCCAATCATAGCGGGCGCTCATTACCTGAGCCCCGCCCATGATAACCAGGTAAACAATAATTATTTTAAGATGTCGGATCTATCTATCTGACTAGCCAAATCACGAGTTTGGGAAGTTAGCAAACCCCCTCCCTTTCCAAGTGTGGTTTGTTAACTACCGTTCAAAAGTTAATTGTTCGAAAGCAACAGTACAAAACTTTCTTAATTCTTATCTGGCAACCCAAACATCCACGTCTACACCTCAGAGAAGCCAGCTGTGGCAGCTGCTGCTGCCTCTTTGCAAAACAAACCAACCGCAGCTTTACTGAAGTTCTCCGTTGGTTTCAGCATTTTCTGTTCACGAACCTGCGTGTTCCTTCAGGCCAGGCCTCCCTCAAACAGATCTGTGATTTTAATGGGCTCACAGGCTGATGTTTAATACACCGAATTATATTATTATTGTTTGGAGTATATCTTAGATCCTTGTGCACATTTCATGGTGTCTCTGAGCAGGACACCTAATCCCGAATTGCTCCCCGGGCGCTTGTATAGCTGCCCACTGCTCCACCTGCGTGTATCCCAGGTGCGAATGGGTTAAATGCAGAGAGCCAATTTCATCTTTGTATGGGAACATACAATGATGACACCACATAGCACTTTATTATTATTATTATTATTATTATTATTATTATTATTATTATTACTGTTTCTTTTGATACTTTATATTTTTGTTGTAACTGTAACCCTGAGTGCACAGTTCCGTTCCACCTCATGTACCACATGTGATGCCAGTGACAAAGAGCCTTGAACCTTGATTGGTCTGTGGTTGAATAAAGGTTCGTGCTGATGAGGATCGAGGCTGCAGGGCCGTTTCTAACCTTTGAAGCGAGCGGTCTTTCAGCCGCCAGCAGGACAGTCCTCGGCTTCTCCTGACCGCAGGCTGCCGTCTATGATTGAGGGCTTCAGCGTCTTTTTACTCGTACGCAGCGTCTTTCTGGTTTTCTGCACCGCCCGCCTGTTTCCAGTACACCTGTCTCTTGTTACCTGTAAAACCCACTACAGTTCAACTCCACCTGCTTGCATCCTTTGATGTATAGCTCTAATTAATCGGCATTTCGTATTTTGAAAACTTTTGTCCATCGAGTATACGGTTTATGCTGAGACCATAAAGTCTGAGGACGTCTTTTTGTTTCCTCTCTGTTCAGACATGGAGACGGACAGCGTGAACATTTGGCCACGGATGGAGCCCTTCTTGCTGGGCGCCCTGCAGGTACACCCACTCCTACTGCTGACTGATATCCTGGAGATCTAAATGTTTTATTTAACTCCGGCCGACGTCTCCACAGGTGGCTCCTTGCTCCAAACTCAGCCTTCACTATCTCCGTAAAATGGCTGTTTACGTGCAAACACGAGACGGCTGCTTCCCTGCTTTGGGCTGGCCGATGTGGAGACACATCGCCTGCGGGAAGCTATTGCTGCCTGAGGACATGGCGTGGCTCTTCTTCGAGACCTTTGACCTTCTGGTGGGTCGCACGCCACAGGAAAGGCTGGAGCGGGCTGAGTTCCTGTCCCAGTGCTCCTCCAAGAGCCAGCTGGACCACCAGAGGAACAAGGTGAACCTGAGAAGCTGCTCCGAGAAGCAGGCTGCCAAGTGACCCGCAACTGAGGTTTTAAAGCTAAAATAAGCTGAATATAGAAGAAGAAAAAGCTAAAATAGCAAAAGATTAGCTAAAAGTTACAAGTAGTAAAAGGAGACTTAAAGCTAAAAGAAACCAAATCCTAGCTAAAATTAGCAGATTAATAGCTCCAAGCTAAAAGTGGACAAACTCTACTTAAAAGTAGCAAAATGTAGCTAAAAGCTAAACGTAACAGAATGGTAACTAAAAACTAGAAGAAGCAAAACTGTAGCTTAAAACTAGTAGTTTAACAGTAGCTAAAAGTGGCTGAGCGGTAGCTAAAAGTAGCATAACAATAGCTAAAAGTCAAAAGTGGCAGAACAGTAGCTAAAAGTAGCAGAATAATTGTTTAAATTGAAAAGTAACAGAATGATAGCCAAAAGTTGTAGCGTGTCGGCTTAAAACAAAATGTAGCAGAAAAGTAGCTAAAGGTTGAAAGCAGAAGAATAGTTGTTAAACCTGCCACTATGGGAGCACCAGCCAGTGTGTCTCTGGTTCTGGTCCCAAGCCCGGGTAAAGGTGAGGGTTGTGTCAGGAAGGACATCCGACCTAAAACTCTTTGTCCAAACCCATAATGAGAGTTCATGAAGTGAAACTGTACCGGACCGGCCGAGGCTCTCCTGAGGTTCTGGAGCATGCGCCGCCTGTTGTCATGGGGACTTTCTGTTTTTTTCATTCAACCTTTATTGAAACAGATAAATCACATTGAGCCTCGAAGACTCGTTTACAAGCGAGACCTGTTTGGACAGACAATAAAAAGTGGTGACAAACGATACATAGGGTTTGGAGACAAAAACAATTCCTAACACACTTTTGACCTCTGTTTGAAGGTCAAAAGTGTGATGGTGAAAAAACATCTTAAAATTTAACCTTCGGCTGAGTGTTACCTGCTCTCAGCTTCAAAGTGGAGCTCATCGTTGCGTTTGTTTTCTGTCTTCAGCTGTCCGTGGACACGCTGCAGTTCCTCCTCTTCCTCTACGTCCAGCAGCTGAACCGAGTGTCTCTGCGTAAATCTCTGATTGGTGAAGAGTGGCCCAGCCACCGCTCTCCCTCCCCATCAGAACGAGAGGCCAAGACGAGCTCTCAGAACAAGGTGGTCTGCACGCTGGTTCCAACACCCGGACTCTGCGTTCACTGAGCTCTTGTCTCCTCCTGGTTCTTTGACACGCTTCTTCCTGTCTCTGATCGTAGAACTGGGACGATCAGGCCCATCTGTCCTTCATGCAGTCTCATCTGGCGGAGATCCTGGCCCTGCTGGTGGAACCCAGCCAGCTGCTGCCGTCGGGCCTCGCCCCAAAAGACTGCCAGGTCTGTTGAGTGTCGCAGCAGCGCTGTGAGAGTTCGAGCCCTTCCATCACTCCCACTGTTACAGAAGATGGTTCCATGAATCGTACACGGGCTGATTGTTTAACTCTTACTGTTACAGTTCAAGGGGCTTCTCAGTACGTTTGGTTTCTGTGGACCCTGTTTGATCAATAAAAGCTCATTTTTAGTCAAATATTCCCAACGAGCGTCTTGCATGAACTGCATATTCAGCTGCATTCTTTTTCTAACCTCAAATGTCTCTTTAGAACAAATCTTCTGCCACGGTGCATCTATTCTCCTGTGTTGTTTCCAGGTATCCCTGGAGGCCGTGCGGAGCTTGGGTCTGCTCCTGGAGGGTTCGGCTGGTCATGGAAAACCGGTTCAGCCCATCCACCGGCTGTTGACCAAGGCTCCCCTCCAAACTCAAGCTGGCTACTCTCTGCTGAGCAGCTCCTTCGCCCTGCACAAGCTCCTCTCGTGTCTCCAGCACAGCCTCACCCTCAACCCCTTCGGGATCACCGCTTGCCTCCGCTCAGGGAAGAAGCTGGCCTGGGCTCAACAAGGTGCGTGGGAACCTTCTGTTTCTGGGCCTGCCTGTGAACAGGTGTTCGAGTGGCTGCTTGTTGTCTGTGATTCCAGTGGAAGGGACCATGAAGAGAGCCAAAATAGCCAGGAACACCCACACGGCTCCGCCCGGCAGTAAGATGGTGCTGATGTCTCAAGTCTTTAAACAAACTCTGGCCAAAACGTCCGACAAGCTGACGGGGGCCAATATAAAGATTCACAGATGTGCTGAGGCCTTCATCTACCTCCTCTCTCCTCTCAGGTAGAGCTGGTTTATGTTTAAGTATTTAGTACTTCTTGATTTTGGAGCCAGAGTTCATTTGCAGTTACACCTGTGGCTCCGTGAACTTTCTCTTGTCCTGCCCATAACTTCTGATCCACTCAAGATGATCTAATTAAACTTGATACATGCAGACGGAGTATCATGCACACCTTTCATCACCCCAGCTCCAAGGTCTAGGTCAAAGGTTATACAAGGTCTTTGTCCAGGCCTTGCCATAGATTGTTGTATAATACTTTGTCGACGGGAGTAAAAGTTTGTGGTACTCGTGTGTGTTTTCTCCAGATCTGTCAGTGTTGATAAATGCCGTGACAGCACAGTGGTCCTGGGTCCAGTCCAGACCTGCGTTCACATCTGCAGCTGCCAGAACGTACGTGTGGTGTGCGTGGCTGGCAGAGTTGCCATCGGAGCCTCCTCTCGTTGCACCGTCCACGCCCTGACCCCCACTCGGCCGCTGCTCCTACCTGGAAACACGGACATCACTCTGGGTCCTTTCCACACGTTCTACCCCTCACTGGAGGACCACATGGCCAGCGTGGGGCTTGCTGTGGTCCCTAATCTCTGGGATCAGCCGTTGGTTTTGGGGACGGACGGCCAAGCAAAGCCCACATCCAACCTGTCGTCCACCCAAGACGCTGCCTGCTACCACCTGCTGCCCCCGTCTGAGTTTCATACTCTGGCTGTACCTTTCCAGATGGAGGGTGACACGTACGAGGTGCCCGGCGGGTTACCGCCTGAGTACCAGGCAGCTCTGGATGAAAAGCAGAAGAGGATTCAGAGCTGGCAGAAAACGGTGATGGAGGCCCACCTTAGCAAGTGAGTGACATTTCTCATCACGACAGTAATTAGATAAATAACTTGTGTAAAGGTAGAGAAATACGTTTGTCTGTTATCAGGGCGGCACGGTGGCGTAGTGGTTAGAGCTGTAGCCTCATGGCTAGAAGGTTGCAGGTTCCCCTCCTGCCCTGGGGCCTTTTTGGGTGGATAGCATGTTCTCTCAGAGCATGTATGGGTTTCCTCCCACAGACCAAAACATGTTGGGTTCTTTCGTAACTCCAGATTGTCCCCAGGTGAGAGAGTGTTTATCTCTGATGGACTGGAGACATGTCCTGGTGTCTCTGTGATGGACTGGAGACATGTCCAGGTGTCTCTGTGATGGACTGGAGACATTTCCTGGTGTCTCTGATGGACTGGAGACATGTCCTGGGTGTCTCTATGGACTGGAGACCTATCCAGGTGTCTCTTTGATGGACTGGAGACATGTCCTGGGTGTGTCTGTGATGGACTGGAGACATGTCCTGGGTGTGTCTGTGATGGACTGGAGACATGTCCTGGGTGTCTCTATGGACTGGAGACCTATCCAGGTGTCTCTATGGACTGGAGACCTATCCAGGTGTCTCTGTGATGGACTGGAGACCTATCCAGGTGTCTCTTTGATGGACTGGAGACCTATCCAGGTGTCTTTGTGTTGGACTGGAGACCTATCCAGGTGTCTCTGATGGACTGGAGACATGTCCTGGGTGTCTCTGTGATGGACTGGAGACATGTACTGGGTGTCCCCCACCTCTCACACAGTGACTACTGGAGTGACCCAGAAAAGAGAAGTGGGTAAAGACGATGGATAAATTTAACGAAACCTCAGAAACGTGAATCATCACTAGACGGGGTGCAGTGCACGCTTTTCATCACCCCAGCTCCAAGGTCAAAGTTACTAATCAAGGTCAAAGTTAAAACAAGGCTTTGCTTGTTCCCCCCTCATAACTTCTGACCCCATCGAGACAATTTAACAAAACTTGAGACACATTTGCTTCGTCACTACGGTAGTTGGAGAATCTTGCAACGTTTTCATCACTCTAAAGTCAAGGTCACAAGTCAAGGTCAAAGAGTTCAAACCAGATCCATGCCATAACGTGTGATCTGCTCGACATGATTTAATGAAACTTGTTGAACGTATTTACCGTTACTAGTCTGGGGGTTGCATGTCCTCCTCACCCCCGCTACAAAGTCAAGGTCACACGTGGACCATTACTGTAGATTTCTGTAGAATAGTCTGCTGATGGAGTAACGTGCTGTATGTCGTCCTCTTGTTCCTTTAGACACTTGCCTTTGGGTTTGCTGTCCTGTTGTAACGGGTTCTCCTTGACGTTCTGTTTCTGCAGGGAACAGAAGCAACAGTTCCAGGAGTTGGTGGAGTTAAAGTTCCATGAGTGGCTTCTTGAAACCGGGCACCGGCAGGAACTCGACAGCTTGATCCCGCCTACGATCCCCTCTCTGAAGGACTCCAGCGGTGCAGCGTCAGACCCCAGACAAGTTAAAGATGTCAAACGTTCAAGGACCACGCCAGAGGGCGGACAGTCTCCTGCGGCTCATTGAACCTTTGGCGTCACTTGGGTTTTTTGGTGTCTTTTCGTGGGATATTTGTACTTGAACTGCAGATGAACTGCAGATTGTTCCAGCTCAGGCAGGAGTGGAAACACTCGTTAGTTGAGTCCATCAACAGTTTGCTCTGAAGACGAGGCAGCCAAGTCCTTTCCACTGTACAACAAGTAGCGATGTTGGAAAAACGTCCAAATATTGGGCAAGACTTACCAAAAGTACAAATGAAGTTTGAAGAAAAAATTCAAAGGTACAAATGTGGGTTTGGCTATTTTTGGTAATAGAACGTGCTTTTTTGTTGTTTTGTTGTAAATAAAGAAAACTGACCTTTTTCTTCAGTTTGAGTTTTGCAGCCGACTAGAAACTCGTTTTTAAGCATTGGTTTGCTTCCACCACAACAGCTTCATTTCCCATACATGAAACACTGTTTTGGACCTGTTCAATCTCATGTAACCTGATGGTGTTGACCCGTCGTTCATTTCTGTGACATACAGTGACTGCCCGGTACAAAGTGCTGATCTGAGCAGAAACATTAAAACTTTAAACAGGAGGAGAAAAGTCTTCCCTTCAACAAGGTGCACTTTGCATGTTGGTCTTGAAATAGACCTTCTGCTACAAAACTTTTAATGTTTTACTGGTTTTGTTTGCATTTCCATAAGCTTATGTGGCTAACGATCATAATTACACCTTTACTTCCTGAGAAGAAGAAACCTGAGCAGAATCTGAGGCCATGGTCCTTAGTCAGAAAGTCTTTGGGTTGAGGTTCTGCCTGAAGTGGAGGAGTTCAAGTATCTCTGGGTTTTGTTCACGAGTGAGGGAAAAATGGAGCGTGAGATTGACAGATGGATTGGTGCAGCATCTGCAGTATTGTGAACCCTGTGCTGGTCCGTTGTGGTGAAGAGGAGCTGAGCTGTAAGACAAAGCTCTGTTTACTGGTCGGTCTACGTTCCTCACCTCTGGTCATGAACTCTGGTAAAGGTGCTCTTTGGACATGTCTGACGATGAGACGACCCAGGACACGCTGGAGAGACTGTCTCTGTTGGCCTGGGAACTCCTTGGAGTCCTCCCAGAAGAGCTGGAAGAGGCTGTGGAGAGAGATTTCTGGACCTCCCTGCTCAAGATGCTGCCCCTGAGACCTGAGTCCAGAACAAGAGGAAGATGGTGGATGCATGGACTTTTTGAGAAAATGATTTCTAGCTTTAGACCAACAGGAAGAGAAAACTGATCCACAGTTGGCCAAGGAGTAATCTTTGGGGTATTGTGGTAGAGAAATAAGGTTTCCAGTCTGGCACTGATGATTCTTCCAGTTTATCCAGTAAAAAATGTGCTGAAAGTCAAATCCATCATCCATAAAAACATCCATCCATAAAACAACCATACATACAGAAACTTTACAAAAAAATTAGAATATCATGGAAAAGCTGTTTAACTTCCATAATTCCATTCACAAAGTTGATCTTTAATAGATGATGGATTCAGGGCCCACAATTTAAACAATTTCAAGTATTTATTTGTTTATTTTACATAATTTCTTCTGAGAGGACTCCAAGCTGTTCAGATGGTCTCTCCAGGGTGTGTTGGGTCTTGGGTCCAGATGGACAGTTGGACATGCCCAGAACATCTCTGGAAGGAGGCATCTTTACCAGATGCCTAAGCCACTTCACCTGGCATTTTGACTGCATGGATCCACAGTCTTCCCACAGTCTTGTTCTTTTGGTCACTACCCAGACGTCGTGACCATAGGCGAGAGCAGGAACGTAGACCGATCAATGAACAGATCCATCTTCACCACAACGGACCGGCAGAGTTCACAGTACTGCAGAAGCTGCACTGACCCATCTGTCGATCTCACACTCCATTCTTCCCCCACTCGTGAACGAAACACTGAGATACTTCAGGCAGAAACTCACCCCCAACCCAGAGAGGACAGTCCACCCTTCATCTGAGGAGCAGGTGCACCATAGAAACCTATCCGTGACCAACCAACGACCCTTTATGGATCCATAAGCTCCAGCTTCTCTAAAAGTCTCTTTTTATACGCAGTCCTCTTACTGACCTGTTGATAATAAACCTAATTAGTTACCAAATGCATCTCCAGCTGCTTCTTATTAGGACCTTTTACTTGTCTCTTGTCCAAATCTTTCTGTGGGACTTCTAGGTTTGCCAGCTTGAACTGCAGCCGATCCCAATCAGCCACCACTCCTGATATGGAGGACTGCTCTGCTGGGTTTTAAAGCCTCTGCCAGACATTCCTCCAGTGCTGGGAGGTTGATGGACTTGTGGTAAAGGTACAGCCTCTAAACTGTCTCTAGAACTTGGATTCTAAAAGCGTGGATCTCCTGCAGCGACTTCCAAGTCCTGAACTCTTCAATCCGTCTAGGCCTCCTTGTGACTTCACCTCGTCCTGATCGTGTCCCATGAGTACCCAAAAGCCTACAGCCTGAAGGTCAACCGGCAGCTTCAGACAGCCTGCTCCTCTCCATCGGTACTCACCTCTCCTGCAGCAAGGATCATCTGGAAACCTGTGACCTGTCAGATCTTACCCCCCCCCTGGCTCTAACTATAAAGAACAACTCGTAAGAGCGAACTCTGCAAATTGGTCAGTTATCTGAAGATTTCCCAGATCCTCACCTTGTCCATTTATCCCTTGCAGTCCAGAGACACCCCCCCACCACCCCACCCCCCCCCCCCCTGCTCCTGACTCTGCTATTTTCTCAGTCTGCCTCTTGGGGGTCAAACCTTATCTAATGTCATGTTACTTTTGTCATGTGTTGATGCCATACAAGTCAAAATAAACTTGTATTTGGGAAAACATGGAACACTTTCTTGATTTAAGCATCTGATATGTTTACTGTAAAATTCTGTTACCTGCATTTTACATCAAAACTCACCTTATTTGGGCGTTTGAATGTCACTTCACAGCAATCTGCAGTAAACTCGTATTGCCATCATAAAATCAGAGTCGTGGAGCTGTGAGGGATCATTCGTGTCGTTCTCCAGACTTTTGGCCGCAGGTGTCCGTCAGTAAACAGCGCTTTATCTGAATCCATCTGAAAGGCATTTATACGTCAGGAGCTGGACGGATCGGCCAGGCTGGTGGAGCTGGCATGAATCACAGTGGGCTCTGAACCCAGCCAGCAGAGGAGTGGGGGTCAGTGAACGGGTACCAGCGCCGGACCATTATGCTGTAATCCTCCCTAGCTTTTCTGGAAAAGCTGAATAGCGCTAGAATCACTGACTCAATTTTTGGATCTCATTTTCATGACAAAGCAATTGTTCCCCTTTTTGCCGTAGCGTTTATCAATGTGGGGAGGGGGGGTGACAGGTATAAAAGGCGCTGACTGAGAGACCGGAGCACCATCAGGAGCACAGGGTATCCATCACCATCCTCCCTCAGCATCGCGGCAGCCGTGCCACATCAGTCTCACCATGGGCAGGGTGAGTCGGCATGCAGAGGCCGCTCAGACCAGATCCTGCAGGTCTGACTCCAGTAGAGCCGTCTTTAAATATTTCTCTCCCTCCTCTATCCCAGATCATCTTTTTTGAGGACAAGAACTTCCAGGGTCGACGCTACGAGTGTGACAGCGACTGTTTGGATTTCCACACCTACCTGAGCCGCTGCAACTCCATCCGGGTGGAGAGCGGGGCCTGGGTGGTGTACGAGAGGCCCAACTACATGGGCTACCAGTACGTCCTGGTCAGGGGGGAGTACCCGGACTACCAGCGCTGGATGGGGCTGAATGATCGCCTCAGCTCCTGCAAGATGGTCCACTTTGTAAGTCCATGTTCGGCTAACATTCATATCACTGCCTGCCACAGAGAGGCGAGGGCGGGCGACAATGTAACTCAGAAAGTAATTACTGTGCGTGCATGTCCAGCTGACTGACAGATGAACACAAACAGGTTTTATAAACAGCTAAAGTGTGATGTTTTAGTAGCTGAGAGCTCGAACACAGAGCAGCTCTGGTCCTGATCAGAGAGGACTGAGTCAGACCGGTTCCGTGGTCTGACTGACCCACATTCTGCAGGGTCTGCCAAAATCAATGAAATCATTGAAATCAATGAAATCAATGCAGCGAGCAGCTGAAACATCCAGCAGCTGATTCACCGTTCATTTACGCTGGTTTTATTTTCCTGTATTTTACAGTCTCATTATTAATAATCTAATTCTGCCAAACATTCAGTTCAGCTCCATATGCACATTTCATTATTTATTTATTCACTATTTCGTCTTGCATACTTTATTTAAAATTAATTTCCCACAGAAATAAGTGACTTTAAAAACAACGTGCTCGTTGAAATCTGCATTTTTGATCATTATCACGTTAGCTAGTTTTAAAAATATATATTTTAGTTTTAACAAATTTTAGCAACTGTTTTGCTTGTTTTGTCGCCCACTGCAGAACGAAGATGGGAATTGTAAATATCCTCGGTCCGTCTGTCTCGTGAGCTGAATAACTTTAAGAAATGAGCAACAGACTCTGGTGTGTGGTGAGATCTGCGTGGACTAAAGGTCACTGTGGAAAACTGGACCGCCACAACAAAATCCAAGATGCAGGTCACAGTGGGCCTGATCAGACGTTACATTGTGAGACGTCTCTCTCAGACTGCGTTAAAAATCACTCTCAGCAACTACCACACCAAACTCTAGCTCAACATCTGTAATATTTACAGAGTTGGATCCATTTTCTTGTCGGTTAATATCAATTAGCGATGTTAAATTAGATTGATGGTTGTTTTCTAAGAGTTTCGTTAAAAATTGCTCAGTGGTTCACGAGATATTTTGCCAAAGGCGATAAAACGTCAGCAGAACCTCAATCAACCTTTATTTATACAGGTAAATCCCATTGAGCCTCGAGCCTTCGAACCTGAATGTTTGTTGGATTTGTCTCCTCTCCCAGACCAGCGGGACCACGTACAAGATGCAGCTGTATGAGAAAGCTGACTTCGGGGGCCAGGCTGTGGAGGCCACGGAGGACTGTCCCTCGCTCCTGGAGAAGTTTCGCTGGAGGGAGGTCCACTCCTGTAAGGTCTTTGACGGCTGGTGGGTTTTCTACGAGCGCCCCAACTACAGCGGCCGCCAGTACTTCCTGCAGAAGGGGGAGTACCGTAAGCCCGGGGACTGGGGTGCCCTCAGCGCTGCGGTCCAGTCCTTCAAGAGACTCACCGAGTGACGGAACGATGGAAACACCAACAAACGAAGCTGAAGCGTGTCAGGACTCTGTACGGTTCTTTTCAGCTGAGGTCCAAACTATTAAAAACTGATCCACAAGCAGATCCAAGACTGTCTAGAGTTTCATGTTTAAATCTCAAACTTTCTTTTAAAACGGACTTCTTGTGGCTTGTGCACTCTGCCAAAGGTCAACAATGTTTCTGATGGTGTCTATGACCGGGGTGAATTCAGTCAGTCCAGTCCAAGATGGCCCCCACAGGAGGAACTATCAACAGCCACATGTCTCTAACTTGGTCAAGTTCACAAAGAGCTGAGTAGCTGGAAGTTACCTTCAAGATGTGCTCTGATCACGACCGTTTAAAGGGATAGTCCGGTCAAATTTAAAGAGATGTTCTGTAGAAAGGACAACATTCATAAACAGGATGGAGAAAGAGGCAGCAGTTTTGGTCATGGCCAACCAAATGAGTGTGTTTTTGTAGTTTTTCAGACATAAGAAAGGTGTGTGTGTGTGTGTGTGTGTGTGTGTGTGTGCAAACCGACTACCGCTATCACTGGGGAAAATTTTGCTTTCTAGTCTTTATATTGCCTAAAATTAGTTTCCCTAAATGATTGTGGTGGCCAAAGATTAATCTATTGTGGCCAAGGCCACCATTGGCCACCCCTTGGCTCCACCTTTGCCATCTGGTGGTGGATAAAATGTACCCCCCCCCCACCACCACCACCACCACCACACACACACACACACACACATTCCAAGATTTGTCACTGCGCTACCTCGGAGAAGAAAACTTCTTCTGTTCTTCTCTACAGTGTAATTCCTCCGCACTTCAATTCAATTCAGTTTATTTATAAAGCTCCAAATCACAACAAAGTTGTCTCAGGACACTTCACAGGAACATTCACATAAAAGCCAATTAGTAAAGTTCTCTATCTGAGGAATCCAGCAGACAAGTTGAATCTTGGATTCGTGAACACTTGAATATCTTGCACAACAACATTAAGGTTAACGTGCATTTCCTGTTCCGTTCCAGTCCAGAAAAACACTTGTCTGGAAAACTACAAACATTCACTATTTAAAATCCTCAGTGAGGGGGTGGGGGAATGGTCTGACTGTGAAATGATGCCAAGGCTGCTGAAAAGTGAGGACAGACAGACTAAATGGACTGAGACTGATGAGGAAACTGGAGACAGGTGGACTAATGGCAACAGGAAACAGGTGCAGGTGGACTAATGGCAACAGGAAACAGGTGCAGGTGGACTAATGGCAACAGGTGCAGGTGCAGGTGGACTAATGGCAACAGGAAACAGGTGCAGGTGGAATAATGGAAACAGGTGCAGGTGGAATAATGGCAACAGGTGCAGGTGCAGGTGGAATAATGGCAACAGGAAACAGGTGCAGGTGGAATAATGGCAACAGGAAACAGGTGCAGGTGGACTAAAGAACAGAAAGCGAACTGAGAAAAAGTACTTAGAAAGTGAAAACAACGGGAACAAGAAAAAAACAGAAATAAGTGAAATGAACTCATAAACACAAAAAAACTACCACAAAACTGGGGGGGGGGGACACATATCCTGACAAAAATTGTGTCTAGCATGAGAACATCAACTGGTTTTGGTTTAATTGTGAAGATTTATTGCTGGGATGAGAACCTTGGGAAACAGTTGTCAGAAGTGCAGCCAGTTCAAACAGTAGCTTCTAATGTGAACGGTTTAGGTAATCAGTCCGCTAAACATTCTGCTTTAGCAACTTTTAAAAGTTTAGACATTTTATTAAACTGTAATACAGTCTGATATTATCCAGACTTGGAAAATCCAACCATCAAATTTCAGACTTTTCCAAACTGCAGGAACCCTGAACCCCAGAATGATAAATCAACATTTAATTCAAGCCATAAACTGTATCTTTAAAAGAAAATGATTCTTCTTCTTAAAACAATCCAGGAAGTGAAGCTCTTCCCGTTTGTCTTCTTGGTGACTGCAGAAGGATCTGCTGGTGGACTTCAGTCCATGAGGTCCTTGCAGAAGAAAGCCTGCAGAACCTTCCCCTTGGAGATGTACTTGATGCTCTCGATCTCTCCCCCACTGTTGCTGGGCTTCTGAAAGTGGATTTCGAGCTGGTCCTGCAAGTCCTCCTCATCCTCTGCATCCTCGATGTCATCCAGAAGGATGGTTCTCTTTGCAGAGCCACAAAAAGTCTGAAATGGAGAACAGCGCTGCGTTAAGGAACACCCCGTTTCCTCGGCATACGACCCCCGACCTCTTGGTCTGACCTTTGTGTAAGAAAGTATCCCTCCACCTCAGAAAGCCCCCTGGATTTTTTGAATCTCACAGCTGAGGAAATGCGGGTTATTCCAACGCATTATTTTCATCATATACAGGAGTACACCTCAGTACACAGAAAAGGATTGCTTTAGCAATTTATTTTTAATTTCCAGTCCAGAGTTTTGTGAAGAGCCTCCAGTCCCCCGAACCCTTCGGATCCGGTAGCCAGAAATGACGCCTTGTTTTTGGTCAAACTTACCTGTGTCACTCCTTAGGTGAACATGGAGGTTGTTTTTTATCTTTTATTATCATTATTATTATCATTATTATTATCATGGTGCACCCGCTAATGATGTCCTGATTTGGGGGAAGCCAACAAGAGTCAGCTGTTCTGGAGCGTCTGATGCTGCAGCCTGCATGCATGTGGAACACATTTTTCTATACTAAACCTTTATTTGTGCAATGCACGTGTGTTTTTACTCTTTACATCAAAAATAAAACTGTGTTTTTTTTAGACGAGATGAGAGCCAGGAATGAGGCATCTCTTCTGGGGCGAGTGAAACATCCTCCGGTCAATTCTTTGTCTGCGTCTCTCAAATGTAAAAGTAAAAAAATAAAAAATTAAAAAGTTTCTGTGAGGTTTGTAACCTTGACCTTGGAGCTGGGTGTGAGGAAAAGTGTAGGCGACACTCCCTCTAATGAAAATGCATACGTCTATGAAGTTTCATTAAATTATCTTGAGCGCAAGTTTTAATCCAGACAAGAGAAATTTTATGGATGAACAGAGATTATATTATATTATGATAAGAGATAAAGATATTGTCAAGTCAAGCTTGGAAGCAAGAGGGTAGGAACCACTCTGTGATAACCTGATGCCATGGGGACTGCAAACATGATGCGCAATACTTGAGTACTATGGAAGTTTAACATGTGCCTACCAAGCATGTGTGAATGTGAACTGATAATACACTGACAGATATATTCTTATGCTACTCTGGTTTAACTGTGAGTTAAATGTTTAATGCTAAAAGTTTTATTTGTGATGTTTTTAATGGAACTTTTTAAAGTACAACGTTATTTACTCTGCCGGACCTGAAAGATGTCTTGTTTGTGTGCGAGTTAAATGTGTGGTGTATCTTACCTGAAACTTCTGCAGGTCGTATCTGTACGTTGGTCCAACCTTAAGGTTTACGTCAGACTCTAGATGGGCTCTGTACTCTCCTCTCATGGCGAGGTTCACAGCAACTACACACAGAAAACAAACTCATTGACTGCAGGAAGGCCCAGCCTGGGGCTTGATGCCACACACATGCATACAGGAAAGCTTGAAACGCTTCAACATCAACAGGACACTATATTCATCAAGAACTCGATGGGGACGTGGAAGACGACCGCACAAGTCAGCATCAAGTTTAGCATACACCAAGGTGATGCCCTGTCCCCACTCCTGTTCTGCTTTGGCCTGAACCTCTTCAGCCAAGTCATCGCAGAGTGGTAATAAAAATCAGGTTCGATGTCCCCGACAGCTACAAATACCTTGGAACAGGCACACAGGCAGATGGCAACCATGATTGGGCTGCAAGAGTCAGACACAACCAAATACCTACAGAAAGAGTGCAGTCCTAGGAACAGCTGAGATACTGAACAGAACCCTCAGGCCTCTGGTAGACAAATATGGAACCACATCTATCAGATTTGATGGGTTTTGTATTTATGTATGTTGTAGGACAGTTTCCAAAGAATTGTTTCTCATTAAAAAATCAAAGTGATTAGAAATCAAGTCCCAGGTCGGCATCATTCCATCTAACAGGGAACTGTTCAGGGAAATCCAGAGGTGACAAAGGTGCACCACAACCGTGTCTCAGTAAATGTGACCTGGTAAAAAGTACCTCCAGGATGAAGAAACGTGATGTGTCCCATTCCCCTCTTCTCATCGTAATCCACTCGCTCCACCTCTCCTCCGCCCCTGCTGGGCCGAGAAAAACTCATCTCCAGTCGGTCCTTCATTCTCTCCGCCGGCATGGCAGGAGGAATATCAAACACTTCCAGATCCTTTCTGGAGACATCAAGGTGGATCTACAATGACAACAAAATCAGGAGCACAAGAAGTACTTCAATAAATCTTTGTTGCAACAAAAAAAGCAGCAGCAGTACAATTACTCATTTGCTTCAGTTTTGCCCAGTGATGATTCATACTGGTAAATCCTTGTTGGTTGCATCTCCAAAGCAGAAGAGTCAAATATTTAAGGCTGTACCTGAAACTTGACAGGATTGTCCATGGTGATTTTCTTGGGCTTCACATCCAGAGTGTTGTCGTCACAGATCACGAGGCAGCTCATCATCTTCAGGACTTTAGAGGCCACTGGAGGACCAGCAACATGACAGGCATGTTAAACAATAGACTTTACACTTGGTGTTGGAAGAAATAATGCTGGACACGTGTATTTTAGTAATTAACACAATAATGTTTGATGTTTACAACTTCAGCATGTTGACCGTCAGGTACGATGAATGAAACATTTGATCTGTGAGTTGTCCCCCGTCACAGAGCGAAAAGGGGGAATTAGAAATACCATCCGTCTGTCTGTGAATGGTGTGAGCATGACAACTGGAAACATAAGGGAGTTACTGGTTTCCTTTTAAGTGTGTGGCTACATCTAGGCGTAAGAAAGGGTCCTATCAAAAACTGGGTTGCCACATTAAAACCCAAGATAGACACCACCATATGTACGTGTGTGTGCATGTGAACCGAATACACCTATCATCTGAGGAAACTATGTTTTAAAGTTTTTATAATGCCTAAAAGTATAGCTACCTCAGATGAAACATCTGCACCTCATGGATCCAGAGGGAGTGATGAGCTCATCAGCTGCACCGTGTGTATACCTGAACCCCCAAACGCTGTAAGTTATAAACACGTTCAGGAAGTTCTAGGGTTGTCAGCTATATCTTGAAAATGTCAAATACGATGTGGAAATGTCTGATTTAAGTAACATACAGTGGTGGGCACAGTTCTGATAATCCGCTAACTGCTAATAGCAGAACTAAGTTTTTGTTTAAGGTATTAGCATTTCTGCTAACTTTGGAAACTGTTAGCGGACTTAGCTTCAGCTAAATTAGGTTTTGCCAACTTTAAGTCAGCTAACAAAATCACTAGCTTGTTCCTATCTGCTGTGGGCGTGTCTCAAAGAATCTGGTAGGCACGCTATTGGCTTACTGTGTGTGCACGTGACAAGACGTGATTGGTCGATGCAGCTTCACCTGGAAGGAGTCACATGTTTAATGGTAGCCTATAGGTTAGCGATGTTAATATTTGACTTAGTGGAATATGGGTTAGTGAAGCTAACTTTGTGTTTAGCTGTGCCCACCACTGGTTACATATATGTTAGAAGTAAGGTGCTCATACGTAATGAATGTTAAACAATTGTCCAGCCGGTTTTCAATGCACGTCAACTTACGAGTCACTTGCATGTAACGTGTGAATTTGTGCAGAACACATCTGTTGCAAACCTGCAACTTATCTGCAACTTATCTGCAACTTATCTGCAACTTATCTGCAACTTATCCGCAACACGTTGACATAGACTGAACATTTTGTGCATGAACAAATGTGTGGGCTGTCATCGGCGTACGACATCTTATGCCATCATATATCAGTGTGCTGGTAACTTTTTCATGACATAGCTGATGCCACTTACATCAGCGTGTTTTCATTGTTCATATGTTGCATGCACTGACCAGAAACACAAGTTCTGGTTCCCAGAGATTGGTTAAGTGTCATCCAATCACAGGATCTCAGCTCATTACGTCCACCTGTCCAAAGAACAAGTTGTTTCTCCATTCCAGCTCCTTCAACACCATCAACAAACCAAAGAGTTGTCAGAGGACATCAAGGACCTTAATGTAGACCACCAGCAAGAAGCTTGGTGAGACGGCAATGACTGGTGGTGCCATTTATCAGGAACGGAAGAAATCTCTTCCTTATGAGGTGAGGATGATGATGAGAAAGATGAGGCATCAGTCCATTGTTGATCTGAAGGCAGTTGGGACCACAGTCACCAAGAACAACATTGGTGACACACAAGGCTGTAATGGACTGAAAGTCCCCCTGCTGAAGAGGGACCATGGATAAACTAACCTAAAACTGATCTGAAGTTTGTTAGTGTGCATCCAAACGAGTCAGAGAAGGTTTAGGAGAACATGCAGTGGTGAAATGCATGACCCACCATGTGTGGAGAAGGAGAATGCTGAGTATGACCTGAAGAACATTGAAAGTACGGAGGTAGAACTTTTATGGTTTGTCGGTTAAGGATGAAGAAATGTTTCTCTGCATCGAGGAACCTATGGACAGAACCATGAGCTATAAAAAATGGAAGAGATCCTTCTTCTACCAGCCAGACCATGGGTCAGGGAGTTGTGGAGTGGTCGAGCCAGTCTTCAGACCTCAACCATGTGGAAAATCTGTAGAAGGAGCTGAAGCTTCAAGTTATCAAGCAGCAGCTAAGACACTTAAAGGGTTTAGAAGGTTTCTGTGAACAGAAAGCTTCCTAAGATGTTTGGTGAGCGGAGGTCCTTTACCAGAAATGTGTGACCACCGTGCTTGAAAAGAAGACAACAGGTTTGTAACTTGGAGGTATTTTCTGCTTCTTCAGTTACATTTCTGCCCCACTACACTAAAACGAAACAACCAAAGAAATTAGATTCTTATTTTCAAATGTTTCTTTCTTCAAGGAGAACATGTTCTAGAACCACCGTCCTAAACACGTGACTCAAGTATTGTTTTTAAATATTCAAATTAAAACCAACCCAGGTTTCAGGGCAACAAATTAGAGGGGAGGGAAAACGTTTGTGTCCCAGATGAAGCCAGACCATGAAGTTCACAGCACCTCCTAGAACAACAGGGTGAACCTTCAGACACACCTTTCTCCTCCTCAAAGGTGAGGAGGGCCTGTCCTCCTCGGAGCAACACTGAAGTTCTCTGACTGATGGTGAACACTCCTCTGATCAGCTGACCGCCGTCCTCACGTTCCACCTCGTCCTGCCCCTCCTTCATCTGAGAAAGAAACTTCACGTCCGTGTTGGGGATCTGAGCGTGGATCTGAAGAAGAAACTGTTTTAGTTCCACACCTAGAACATTAAAACCACCGAGCTGTTAGCTCTGATGAAGGTCTAACTGTTAAACCTGTCCAGGTATGGACAGCACATGGTCAACGTGACATTAGAACATCTGAAACATCAGACTGTGATTCAGAAAGGTTTCAGGAGGAACCTGTGAAGGTCTGGTCCAGAAACAAGAACCTGTAAAGGTCTGGTCCAGAAACCAGAACCTGTAAAGGTCTGGTCCAGAAACCAGAACCTGTGAAGGTCTGGTCCAGAAACCAGAACCTGTGAAGGTCTGGTTCACAACCAAGAACCTGTAAAGGTCTGGTCCAGAAACCAGAACCTGTAAAGGTCTGGTCCAGAAACCAGAACCTGTAAAGGTCTGGTCCAGAAACAAGAACCTGTAAAGGTCTGGTCCAGAAACAAGAACCTGTGAAGGTCTGGTCCAGATACAAGAACCTGTGAAGGTCTGGTCCAGCGTCAGGAGCCTGGCACGTGTCTCAAGTCTCACCTTGAACTTCTGCTTCAGTTTTGTGGACTCAGCTCTCTGAGCCTCCAGCTGGTCCTGACATCTTCTCAGTTTATCCAGTAGATCTTGTTTTTGTTTGGAAAGCTTCTGGATTTCCCCCTGCAGAGAAGAAACAGTGAAGGAGAAGGTTTGTTTCCAGCAGACAAGTCACAGGAACCTGGAGGAACCTGCCTGCAGTTGGTTGAGGTTCTGATCCGCATCTTCCTTAAAACTCTTTTGTTTTTCCAAATGAGCCATCATCTCCTGCTGGGCCTTCTTCTTCACATCTTCTTCCTTCAGTTTCTCCAGGATGAGCCTGGCTTTCACATCATCAGCTTTCTCCACTTTGCTCTGAACAAGGTCACAGAGAAGAGTAAAAATAAATATGTAAATAAATAATATATTAATAAAATTCAAATGGTGGCCAGGATTTGGCACAAGTGGCTCATTGTCCATTTGAAGAACCACTTCCTGTCTGATGTCTTCATGTCGCATGTAATGTTTTTTTCTCGTGACGTCATTTATTTTAAAAGAGCGTCAGTCCCTCCGGCAGCAAAACAGCCCACATCATGAAGCTGTCACCGCAGATGGTCAAACTTCACCAGGGTCCACAAATTACCCTAAAAGTTTCCTGTAATTTTAGTTTCATGGCCACAAAATGAACGTCTATAAATCTGTGATTAAACTTGATTAGACCACAATGTGGATTTATTGAACAGCTGTATATTTAAATGGCACCTTCAGCACTTTGGCACATTATGCTCTCCTCATTTCTAGGAATGACGAGTTTTACTTTCACTTCTCAACGTCGTGTGGAAAACAATCATCAGATTTGTTTGATTGTTCCTACACTAAACACAATAACAATCTGATCAGTCGGATTGATCAGATTTATGAAACAGGTTGTAACCAAAGGAGGTGACCTGCAGTTCCTTCAGCTCTTTCACAGCCTCTTGGTACATCTGGTCTTCTCCACCTCCACTCATCTAAAATAAAACAAACTTTACTGTAAGCAGCCTGAACAATCACTGAGCAACAACAACAACAACAACAACAACAACAACAACAACAACAAATCATTTTAATCTGAAGGATCACGGCCCGACTAACGCAGACACAAAAATCAGAGACAAACTTGGCATTTTACATCAAAATCAGCTGCAAGCTGTCCTACCTTTAAATATTTTATTTTCCTGAAAAAGTCCAAAGAATAGAACCAAGTAATCAAAGTTATAAAATGTCGCCAGTGGCTCAGACCTCAGGGACCAGGACCTAAAGATGAAACTGAAACTGAACGCAGTGAGGGAGACTCTGGGTTGCCAGATAGGAAATGACGAATACAGTAATCGGCATGCCGCTTTTTAAAAATCTCTGTTTTTAACATTCATTGTTTCCTGTGGCATCAAAGAGAAGTTAAGATGGCGTCCAAAAGAGGCAACTGCTCCCAGCCGACACAACAAGTGTTTAACAGCAAGCCCAACTGGATCTGTGTCACAAATTATTATTACATCTTTATATAATTCAAAATTAATGTTAATTTATACAACAATCACGTAAACAGCTGGATGTTATAGAAGGAAAATGTAACTAACGAGGATCTAAGCACGACATGAAGTCCGTCAATAATAAATGATTTCAGTACTTTTGAGCTTCTTAAATAATTATGACTTCAGCTGGTGAATTTAAAAACTAACTTTTTTCATTCAATTCAGTTCAGTTTATTTCTAAAGCTCCAAGCCACGACAGAAGTCGTCTCAGACACTGAACAGAAACATTCATCTATAAAATAATAATTTAACATTATTTATCTGAGGAGCAGACTGCTCTGAGTTGAACTCCATCACAGATCTTGAGCAAGCATGAAGGCGACAGTGGAAAGGAAAAACTCCCTCAGGATCCTGAGGGAGGCAGAACCCTTTAGCAGAACCAGGCTTAACGTGTAAATTGTTTAAGACTCTGCAGCTAACTGATCAGTGTCTAATCGATCCCGCAGGTTAAACAGAACATTTTCAGAATTCATGCACAGAGCAGATGATGAATTGCTACCAGCAGCTTGGACTGTTGAATAATTTGAACTAAACTGTAGCGTGATTCAGGAGGTACAGACACAACATCTGCCTCAGAGGCTACGAACGTCGAGCCAGTTCAGTATTTAACAACCGGTACATCAGTTTTATAACGGCTCCGTTATCAGCTTCAGGTCTGCTCCGTCAACACTGAGGTCAAGATCAAATCTGACCACTCTCTTTTCTCCTCAAGTTTAAGTTCAACTCAATTTTATTGTCATTCGCATCACATGTGGCACATGAAGTGCGCTAAACACTAGTCCCTCGTTTATCGAGGGGGATCTGTACCATGAAGCCCCGCGATACGTGAAAAACAGCAAGTTCTAGTTTGTTTTAGTATTTAGGCGTTTTAAACCCTTCCCACAACCTTGCAATATTCTAAACAATGTTTCTAAACTCTAAACACTAAAAAAGCACAGACTGTTATGATTTCCAGCTCTCTGCCTCGGCTGCACTCTTGGCCACGCCCACTTCTCCGCTCTGCATGGAGATCAGCTGATCAGCTGCAAGAGGAAGCTTCTCCTACACCTGCGGGCTGTGCACAGGTGCTAACTTAAAATAATTTATTTTAAATAAAATCTCCATGCCGATCATGCGGCTCATCCATCAGTCAGCCATTGTTTGTCATGTCCAGTCTTATTTTGAAAAACCGCAATAAAGCGAATCCGTGAAAAATGAACCACGAAGTAGCGAGGGTCTACTGTAATGTAAAACTATATCGTGTAACAACAGCAGCCTGAACATGAGCATGTGGTGAGTAGATGGGTATGAATGAATATGAATGAATACAGCAGCATGAGATCAGCAGCATGGATAATCAGCAGTACAGATAAGTCACATATCATCAGTTAAAGTGTCACCACAGTGATTATTCTGGTTAGAGATTCATGAGTCTAACAGCCTCAGGGTAGAAGCTGTTCCTCAGTCTAGTGGTTCTACACTTAATGCTCCTCAACCTCCTTCCTGAGGGGAGTGGGGCAAAAAGTGTGTGTGCTGGGTGAGTGAGGTCCTTCATGATGCAGGTGGTCCTCTTCCTGCATCTTGAGGTGTAGATGTCTGTGATGGTGGGGAGGCTGACTCCAACATCTTCTGTGCAGCCTTCACCACTCTCTGCAAAGCTTTTCTTTCTGCAGCTGTGCAGCCTCCATGCCACACGTTGATGCTCGAGCACAGGATGCTCTCCACTGCACACCTGGAGAAGGAGGTGAGGACTGAGCTTCCAGACCAGCTCGCCTCAGCCGTCTGAGGAAGTAGAGTCTCTGATGAGCTTTCTTCATCAGGCTGGTGGTGTTGTTGCTCCAGCTGAGGTTGTTGTTCAGGTGTACACCCAAGTACTTGTAGCTGGAGACCACTTCCACCGCAGATCCTCTTATGTTCAGGGTGGGTACAGGTGTGTTTGCTTCGTCTGAAATCCACGACCATCTCCTTCGTCTTCTTCACATTGGTGTGGAAGTTGTTCTTCTTCTTTAAGGTTATTTTCTGTTCCTACATCTATAGCACCTTCCTGCCATTTTTACATGTTTATATACCGCCTAAAAATATACTATTATTATATCATCATCATCATCATACATTTTTATTATTTTAAACAAATTTGCATAGTCAGCCCTCACTCAGGGCTATTTAATCAAAATGTTAAGTACAGATGTTTGCCTGTTTTAGTAATGGCCGCCGTAGCTGCAGTGAATCACCAGGTCACGTGACCAGAGCGCCCTCTACTGGTTCATGGAACTCTGGTTGTATGGGTGTTGTGAACGCGCACAGAAAGGGGTGGTTGCACGTGGTCTGGCAGGAAATGATGACATAATGTAAATAAATACCCACCCCAACTGCCTTTTTTTTTGTGAACGGAAATACCTAAACTAAAGGTGATGATGAAATGCATCTTGTGATATTTGCCTTATAATCTAGCTGTTTTTCATACTTTTATGGCCATCTTATTTTAATTTGTAAAAAATAAATATCTGTATGTCTTTTTATAATTGTCTATTGTTGTCACTGTTGTCCATTGTTGTCATCATTCTTTGTTGAAATCAAGTCTCTCTTGTAAATGAGTCCTCGAGGCTCAATGGGATTAACCTGTCCAAATAAAGGTTGAATGATATGCATCTTATTAAAAATTAGTATCAGTATATTGTGATATTTAAAAAAAATAATGTTTTGATCTCCAAAGAAGAGCTGCCATCTTCTGAAGACCACATAAAAAAAATTATATTTCTGCCATTCTTTGTAATCTTCATACAAATTGCAAGATGTTCAATTTTAGTTAAGGCAAGCGTCGTGACGTCATCACGCTCAACGTGCAGTGTAAGCGTGACTGGCAATAACAAGGCGATTGCGCATGCGCGGCTCACATCGGCTGTTAAAGCTGACAGGACACGGACTGAGACGTTAACAAACGTATTTGGAGATGTTTTGGTTTCAGGGCTCCATTCCTGACGCCATCAGTTCTGCTAAACGGCACAGTTTAATCTTTGCCGTTGTCATTGCAGGTGAGATTAGGAATATTTAAGTATTGTACTACGTGAGATGGGTTTTAGGTGCTGAACATGAAGCTAAGTGCTAGCAGGCAGGATAGCTGTAGCCATTAGTCAGCTGTCACTGACCGAGTGTCCTGCCAAAGAAACGAGCTACAAACCAGAAGAAAACTAAATACACCCTCAAATAAAACCCGATGCTGTGCTAACAATACCAGATGATTATTTGTGCGTCTGTTTAATCGCTTAGCTGTGTTCTCTGGATTTTATTCTTAGATGTTTGTGTTTATCAGTACGTAGTGACGTTCAGTCCCCTAGCTAGGCTACAGGCAGCTAAAGGAATTTGGTTTTCGCTTCTTCTTCATCATTCCAGGTCTTCTAATGGATTAGGATGAGGCGAATTGTCTTTACCTCCATTGCAGCTTTTGCTGAAAGTGCCAGTTCATTTCTTCATGTCTCAGATAAACGTGTGTGGTGGTGGTTTCTCAGGACTGAGCTTACAAACCTTTGTTCTCAGGTGAAGATGAGCAGTCGGCCCAGCTCATGTCCAGCTGGGAGGACGAGCGCGTCTCCGAGACGGCGCACAGATGTTGTGTTGCCATCAAAGTTGATGCCAAGAGGTACCAACATGTCCCCTACACGTGTGTCATTCAGTATTTTAGTTTGAAGTTTACTTTTAATGTCCGTACGGGTCTGAGTTCCTGACAAGAACACGTGTTGGTGTGAAATGTGCATCTCAACACCAACAAAGAGGAGCAGCAGATTTTGTGACGATGCTGCTGAAGCTGGTCAGAGAGTCTTTATCCACAGTGAGACGAGTCCTGGACCAACATGGACTGAAAGGACACCCAGAGACGACAGACATTACTCCTAAAGCTATATAAAAAAGGCAGATTATAATTTAAGATTAAACTGTTTGGTCATAATGACCATAGTTAGATTTGGATGAAGCATCTTCTCAAAACGTCACACAGGAAGTTGATGCTTGGACATACATGGGTCTTCAAATGGACGATGTCCCTCATCGCATGGTCTGCTTAATTACAAAGTGGAGTAAAATATTTAGAAGAGCTGAAAACGTGTGTGAGCAAGGCAGCCGTCAGATCTGACTCCGGTCCAGATGTTTGTCAGGAGGAACGAGGCAAAACTCAACAGTTGTGAACAGCTTGGGGAAGGAAACCCGAAACATCTGACCCATGTCAAGACGATAAATACACAGAACAGTGATGAAAACTTGTGACTTTGAAAAATGTAATAAAAAAAAGAAATTCTCATTTTGTAGACATTTGGCAAATAAAAATAATTTTGTGATTTTACATCTTCCTTCCTACAGTGACACGTGCGTGCAGTTCTCCCAGATCTGTATCCTTTCTTCTTCTAAAGGCTGCTTAGTTTGTTAAAGGTCTTTCTTGTCATTTCACATGAACATGTGAATAAAATGTTCCTTAACTGAGCGGTACCTGTTGAAAGACCCCGTGGTCTGCATACCCTCCAGCTTCTTCATCGGAGACAACGGGATTCCTCTGGAGGTCGTAGCTGGGTCCGTGTCTCCTGACGAGCTGCTGAAGAGGATCAACAAAGTCCAGCAGGTTTGTTCAGTGATCCCTGAGATCCCACGATTCCTGAACACAGGCCAAACCAGATGTTTACATACACCAGGTAAAAAGACACGAGATCGTTTTTATCATCGTGTCTAGTCTAGGAACGTCCATAAACTTTATTTTGTCCCGCCCATGACTTCTGATGCGCTCAAGATGATTAAATGAAGTTCACAAACATCTGCATCGTCTTCATCACCCCAGCTCCAAGGTCGAGGTCACAAATCAAGGTCAAAGTTAAACAAGGTCTTTGCTTGTCCAGTGCAGCTGTTTGCTGTTTAATAGTTTGCTGATGAGCGAGTAATGTGTCGTACACGGTACTTTTGTTTTCTCACCATCTCACATTAAATCAGACGAAACCGTTCCTGTTTAGGTCGGTTACGATTCCTTAAACAATTTAGTTTTGTGAAATTTGTAAACGAGAGATAATTTAGTTTACATACACAAAGATTAGTTTGCCTGTATACATTTTGTTAAAGCCCAGATGATGATGTCATGGCTTTGGAAGCATTTAACTGGTTAGTTGACAACAGGTGCACCTCAAACGTGCTGCTGCTTTGTGTGACATCTTAGGAAAATAAAATAAATCATCCATGACATCAGAGAAGTACTGATCTCCACAACTCTGCTTCATCCTTGAGTCCAGGTTCCCGGTCCTGAAGGTTCCAATGTTCAGTTATACAGAAACAGCTCGTGTGTTTCTATACAGTGCACGTAAACATCTGGTTTCAAACGTTGTTTTAACTGAAGTTACTGAATGAAAAACTGTTTTTTGTCCAAATGTTTCACTTGTTTTCTGACAGATGCACATTCAGGAACATGGCGGTGCTGGAACGGTACCAGAACCTTGTGGTCCCGTGGAGTCTGCCCCACCTGCTCCAGTCCTAGCCTCAGCTCGTGAAGAGTCCGTCGGGTCAGAAGCTGCAGCCAGCGAGCCTGGAACAGAACCACACATGGATAAAGGTGTGCATTGATAGCTCCTTCATCCTGCATTAAATATTGATCTATAAAAATCCAACATTGACTTAAGTATGAACCTTTTCCTGTTTGTCAAACAGTTTTTAGCTCTTAGTTTTTGAGTTGGTAACGACTGAGGTCTGACTGAAGTTGATTCACGTGGATTAAAGTTATCTGTCGCTGCGATGGAGTTCCATCATTTTGAATGTAACCAGGACTTTTTTTAACGTAGTCTGGAAAAATGACAAGGGAAAAAACGTGTTTTGTTGTGATCTTGTTAAAGCCATCCAATCTGATGATGATACAGGAACTAAACTGATGCAAGTTTCAACCAATAAACAATACCAAAGTCATAGTTTGACCAATCAAAGCAGAGCAGGATGAGTGGTGCTGTCTGGTTCACAGTGAGTCTGGGTGTGAGCAGTAAACACAAACTGCAGGTGAAAGTTCACCTGCAACCTCAATACGACGGTGAGAGGACTGAAGAGAGGAGACAGGAATATAAGGAGATACAAAGTAGAGCAAAGAGGGAGGTAGCTAAGACAAAACAGAAGGTGTATGATGAGTTGTATGGGAGGCTGGACACTAAAGAGGGCGAGAAGGACTTGTACCAATTGGAGAGACAGAGGGATCAGGCTGGAAAGGGTGTGCAGCAGGTTAGGCTTGTTAAAGATAGGAATGGTAATGTTCTAACCAGTGAGGAGAGTGACGGGAAAATGGAGGGAGTACTTTGAGGAGCTAATGAATGAAGAGAATGAAAGAGAAAGAAGAGTAGAGATCATAGAAACTGTGGACCAGGAAGTGGGAAAGATTAGTGAGGGTGAAGTCCAGAAAGCTCTGAAAAGAATGAAGAAGGTGAAGGCAGTAGGACCTGATGATCAGTGGAGGTTTGGAAATGTCTTGGAGAGATGGCAGTGATGTTTTAACTCAAATATTCAATGACATATATGAGTGTGAGAAAATGCCTGAGGGATGGAGAAGTGTGCTGGTGGCCATTTTGAAGAACAAGGGTGATGTACATGTATGGTGAGATAAAAAACAGAGTCCAGGCAGGATGGAGAAAAGTTTCAGGAGTGATTTGTTGCAAAAGGATGGCATCAAAGGGTCAAAGGAAAAGTTTACAAGACAGTGAGACCAGCTATGTTGTATGGTCTGGAGACAGAGACATGGACAAAAAAACAGGAGACAGAACTGGAAGTGTCAGAAATGAAGATGTTGAGGTTCTTCTTAGGAGAGACAAGGATGGAGAAGATCAGGAATTAGATCATCAGAGGTACAGCACAGGTTGAACAACTGGGAGACAAAGTTAGAGGACACACTGAGATGGTTTGGACATGTCCAGAGGAGGGACAGTGGTTTGGACATGTCCAGAGGAGGGACTGTGGTTTGGACATGTCCAGAGGAGGGACTGTGGTTTGGACATGTTCAGAGGAGGGACAGTGGTTTGGACATGTCCAGAGGAGGGACAGTGGTTTGGACATGTCCAGAGGAGGTACTGTGGTTTGGACATGTCCAGAGGAGGTACTGTGGTTTGGGCATGTCCAGAGGAGGGACTGTGGTTTGGACATGTCCAGAGGAGGGACTGTGGTTTGGACATGTCCA